GTCTCTATCTCTGATCTCGTCTATTCTCCTCTGTAGCTAGACCTGAATCAAAGACCATCTACTCCTCATTCACTTCGTTTATCTCGACTTTGTGACGCCTGGCTTAGTATAAAAGCTATCGAGTCGCTGACAGTCATCCATGCACTTTTATTGTTTCGATAGTAGAGACCATAGGTTTTGCCATCCTTTTTTTTGAAACAGCGAGGTTTTGCGAACTTCCCAATAAAAAGCAGTTCCTCCTTCTCTCCAAGCTCATTACAAATAAATAAAATTGAGATACAATTCTTGGAAGCCTTCTCCCCACTCATTTCCCTCATTGCAAGCCCTCGGTCAGGAGGACAGCACCAAAAGAAAGAGCTTTCATCTGCATTCCAACGATCCCGAGGAAGATAATTGGCAGCTTGCTCTTGGCATCTTAGACGTTCAGCTGTTATATCTGCAGGATTACAAGATGCTGCCTCCCCATGGCGACGAATCTCTCGGATCTTATAACTGAATTTACTGTTAACAGTGCAATAAAATCAAAAGGAATGAATAAGACTCACGTTCTGAAAAAGGAACCCAGCCAACCATTGCTATGCCCAAGACATTCTTCCTCAGGAACATTGAGATCCTTCTCAAATCGTTGCCGCTTTTCCATCAACATATCACCAGAAACAGTTTGATTTCGAGCATTCATGCTCTCGACCCATAAAACTAGGGCTCTTTCAACATCTGGACGTGTGACAACACGCATCCATTTTGTTGAGAGACCATTCGGAGTGCTGACAGCTCGTCTTTTGATTTCCTGATGCCGCTTCAAATTTCGGGATAGTGTTGCTTGATCAAAGACCAAGGCATTCACTCTAAGGCCTTTGAAATGGTTTACAACCTCTGTCTGAGTTGCTGACCCATGTTCGTCAATCCATTGGAATACGCGAAGCCAATCATATGCACTGAGATGTTGCCTTCTTGGCTTCGAGACAGCTGCTGAAGCAACACCTTTAGGCCGCTTGGCCTTCTGATTCACCAATCAACGAGTGTATGGTGCTGGATTTGCTCGAGGCTTTTGGGTCTTTTCAGGAGCACCACTCATGTTTTGGACAAGAAGAAAGCTTTTAATCGATAACTTAAACTTCAGATGCTATGCACAATGTGCGAAAATCCTTAAACCTTATATATAATGCATTAAAAAATCTCCGAAATCTTATGCATTATGCAACATGAGGATTTTGCATAATTTCCCGCCTCCCAACTTGGTGGATGCCAAATGTCAATGCATTATGAGGATTATGCATTATGAGCTAATGCAATATGAGATGTTTGACTGTATGTAGGACACTAGGAGAAAGGTAGGTAAAAATTACAAGCTCAAGGGGGAAAGCCAGCTTGAGTGTACATACATGCCTTGACCTTTCTTCCGATTTCTCATCTTTGTTTGACATTAAAGTGCCCGATAACCGATAAAAAAGAAAATAAAGACAAAAAAGGCCATTACACATATGGTTATACACCGTTCGGGAATCGAACCCGAGCCGCTTGCTTCATAATCTGCAAATCATGGAAGGCAAGCATGATAACCACTTCACCAACGGTGTTTCTGATTACTGCTATGTAGCCATATAGAATAGTCAATAAAGTGATCTGCGACGGATTTTATCGAAGTCAAATCTATAAAATTTCATAGCTCCCCTTGATTTGTGAGACATTTTGTTGGGCCACCTGGCAAAATGGCATCGCGTCTGACTACGAATTGTTATCAGGAGACTGCAGGTTCAACCCCTGCGGTGGTCACTAATGAGATGAAAATTTTATCTTTCCTTGGCCGGGCTAGTTTTTTTCTCATTAAGGACAATGCTATTGTTTTGTTACAAAGTACATATCTCCATAACAGTTATTTTGTACTTTGGTTCCAAATTTGAAATAAATATTCTCATATCTGTCAAACTTTTCACATCTATGAGGTATCAATACATGTGTTGATTGGTCCTTTAGGGCCAGTTCAGTGGCAGATTTGAATTGAGTATTTAGATTTAGATTTAGATTGGTAATCAAAATACACAGCCATTGCAATGACTTGCATGACAGTGTTGTTGGAGTTACAGACTGCACCTAGTGTCTTGTATATTTCATATATTGCTCAATCCCCCTCTCCTGATACTTATCATTGTTCCACTTTATGTTTCATATAGCCTTTCATTTAGCCGTTCAACAACAGAAGTATACACTTCATTTATATCCATAGTTGTTTGGCCACAATAGAAGTCCACTGCTATCTTATAGCACTTCATGAGCTCTAACAGGTTATTGGGCCCCCAGATTGCTCTATTCCATTTCTCAAGTCCAATACAATGTCCACAACTGTAAATGCACTTACCAACTCACTTCTGACTAATGTTCCTTCCCTTGACCCAAGTGGCAAGGATTGGGCTATCTTTGCTCTTTGCTTCATCTCTGGTGTCCAATCCAAAGGAAAGTGGGGCCATTTCTCTGGCACAGCAGTTCCTCCAACCCTTGCCGGTCCCACTACCAGTCTTATCACCACTTTGGATGCCTGGGATAAGGATGAGGCTACTGCCCGTAACCTTCTCCTCCAGAAAATCCCAGATTCTGTTGCTCTGAAGCTCAGCAAATATTCTACAGTTGCTGATGCTTGGTCTGGTCTTGTTATGGAATACACTATGAAGTCAGGGTATGTGCAAACTGATCTTCATCAATCTTTCCTGGACATGACCTGTATGGAAAATGGTAATGTCCATCAGTTTCTTGAAAAGCTGGTGAGCAAGAAGGAATCCCTTGCCTCTGCTGGTGTCACTATTGACAACACTGATTACCATTCCACTATCCTCTGTGGGGTTCCTCCAAAGTATGCTTCTTACATGGTTAATGTACTTGCAACTGCCAAACTCACAAATCCATCTTTCATTGTTGACCCTACTGCTCTCTCTACTACCATTTCTGATGAATACAACTGCCTGGAGTGTCATAAAGATCATGCAAAATCTCAGTCTGGTAGTAAGAAGGATGACAATGATAACAAGGCTCTGGTTATTACATCCTCATATGGCAATTCTAAGTCCTCACAGGTCTCAAAGCATACATGTTGGAACTGTTATATCCATGCCAAACCCCACCAGGCCTTCCGGCTTGATTCCACAGCCTATCAATCACTATTTGACATTCCAACATTCTGGCCAATCAATTGATCAATCGATCCATTCACAAATTTGTTTCCAAGTCCAATCCCAATCTTAATTGACTTTGTACTGTGCCCCTTGGCCTGGTGACTTTGGAATAACCTCAGATACATCACCCGACACTCTGTCATCATGACCAATGCATTCCCATGCCTGTCAGCTCTCAGGAAACATTGTTATTGTATTATTTCTAATCTTTCTCACTTATTGTCTTTTATTTAACAATTAGGATTACTTGTATATAAGGTTAGATGCCTTGTACACTATTCCTCAGTTTCAATATTGTCTTGGGTTGTCTTGGATTCCATCCCAATCACTCCTCCCTCTTTTATTGTCCCTTTACTATCCATTATTGTCCACATCTATTCTAGAACCACTCAATGTAGTGAGGATCCATCCTAATAGACGGATCAAGGTTTGCTTCATTCCTATGTGACTTCCAAACCATTTGGTCCTTTTGAGTTCCGGTCATTTCCATGGTCCTTCAGCCTATACATTGGCCACTCCGGGCGCTATATCAAAACCTTTGGACCACTCATTGGCAACTTCAGCCCTTTCAGTCCCTCCTTGGAAGCATGGCCCTAACAGGAACTGTGGGAAGAAAGGACACTTGAAGAAAGATTGCAGAAAGCAAAAGTTATTCAAAGCTGGTAAAAGTTTGGGTGGAAATGCTAATGCCATTGAGTCTGATTCTGGCTGGGAAGGCAGCAGTGCATTTGTAGTTGATGAAAATGGTAGTATGCCCAGTTTGGCCTTGGTTTTAGAGAGCTTGTGGGAAGAGTCTTTGTGTATTCCAAAGGATATTTCTGAAGTGGAGACAGATGATGGTCAAGTCTTGTTCTCCAATGTTGAAGAGGATGATGTTGCAAGCTTACCTGATGGTTTCAAGGAGGACTGGAGTGATTTTCAGTCATTCTGCAGTTCCAGCTCTGAATGGGTGAAATCCCTCTGTGTGAAATCCTCTCAGCATACTGCTGAAGCTGCAGACCCTGCCAACTTGCCTCCCTCTACCCAATCTAAGCTGTACAGCTCAGGATGTAGTCGCCACATATCCCCCTATTATGACAGCTTTGACAACTTCAAATCTATCCCTACAAAATCTTTCCATGCTGCAAACAAACAGAGTTTTGCAGCCACAGGTTTGGGTTTGATTATCATTGATGTCCCTAATGGTGTCGATGTTACCAAGCTTGAACTTACCAAAGTTCTCTACTCTCCTGAAGTTGGTTATACCTTAATTTCCATGGGTAAACTTGATGATCACAGTTTCGCCTCCATATTTTCAGGCAGGAAATGCACTATTGTTAAGATCATGCAAACTCCGGAATTGTGGAGTTCCTTGCAATAGGATCACGGAGTTGGACCAGAATGTGAAGGGATTGTTCCCTTGCAATCAGAGGAATGATTCACAGAGTAAGGGAGAGGGATTGGATATTGACACCACTATTAGTAGTGTCCTCAACACGTTGAGTGTCCAAGGTGAAGCATAATGGCAGATCTAAGTTGATATTCAAACTGGGGACTACCTATTCTACACTGAGGTTTATACCATACTGTATGTAAGGATTGTGAAGTAATGCTATCCCCAAATAGGTTAGTCTGACATGCAGAAGGCATGAGGAAGAACAAAGGATGAATATAAAAGGTATAGTACAGATCAGATCATATTCTGGAGATATAATGAAGGAATCCTTTGCAGAGTAACTCCCCGCAAAGGCAGGAGTTGGATAGATCAATTGCAGAGTTGCATCTCCACAATCATGGGAATTGAATCATGGAGTTGCAATCCACATACATATAACAACTATCTGCACTCCTGATGGAGAACTTGTTGGAGAGGTCCCAAAGAACAAAGGGGACCTTTATCACATTGATCGAGTGGGAGAGGAAGGGGCTGCGGCAGTGGAAACAATCTCATTAGACCAACTCCACCATCATATGGGTCATATCTCACCTAAGGTTGCCAAGCTGATGGTGACCAAAGGAACTGCAACAGGTGTTAGACTTGATAATTCTGGTCTGCAGGATGTTCTGTGAGTCCTGTGTCTACACAAAGGCAATGCATAAGCCTGTTGCAAAAGAGCAGAAGGAGGAGAACCAAGCTACTACCTTTGGCAAGGAAGTTCACACCGATCTGTGGGGTCCAGCACCAGTCAAGTCACTACAAGGAAGGCATTACTATATTTCATTCATCAATGACACCTCCCAATTGGCTTACCTCAATTTTCTCTGCAAGAAGAATGAGGCTCTTCGAGTCTATACTCACTACAAGAAATGGGTTGGTACTACATGGAGAGTCAACCTCATCCATATCAGAAGCAGAATGCTTTGCTGAGACTAAGTGTGAAGTAATTGGAGGAGCAGGAGTTTAAGTCTGATCAGCTGGAGCTGCTGAATTGGAATGTGGACCAGGTGGACATGGAGACTCAGAATCAGCAGGAAAATCTTCATCACCTAGTCCAGCAGTATCCTGAGAGTCATTGATAGACTGAGATTGTGGAGAGTTGGTAGACTGGGAGTCCTGAGTAGACTGGCCTGAAGCATTGAAGACATAATTGTTAGATCACTCAGTTGTGTGTATAAACAACTGATATATTAATTGTACCTGTTAGATCACTAGGTAGACGGTGAGTAGGTACTTGGTATCGTAGTTAGCATTAGCGGCTCACCTCAGTTGTGTGTATAAACAACTGAGGGACTCGCTGCGATCGTCTCTGCCTATGTGCGAACTGGAACTGTACAGTATTAGTAATAAACGCGAAAGTAAATAGTATCGCCATTAGGTAATGCCAAAGCTGGCATTACCCGTCCCGATACGAATACGCGAAGTATTCCTAACACCCCCCCTGCTTCGCGCAATCCAGCTTCAGCCACTGGACCATTTTATCGTGGGTCTGGCCTGCCAGGGACTTCGTGAACACGTCGGCCACGTTTGTCTTGGATCTGATTTCCATCACTGTGATCTCCCCGTTTGCCACTTGCTCGCGAATCTGGTGCTGACGCATGTCGATGTGTTTGACTAGGGCGTGCCGCTTTGAGTTCTCGGTCAGCAAAATTGAGCCGAAGTTATCCCCATGTATCTTGGTAGGTTCGCTGAGCGGCAAGTCGATCTCCGAGAGGAAGGATCGCAACCAGAGAGCCTGTTGTGAGGCTCGGGACAGTGCGATGTATTCCGCCTCTGTAGACGACAGTGCTACAGTTGGCTGGCGCTTGGAGCTCCAAGACACTGGGGCGCCTGCCATGAAGAATACGTACCCGGAGGTGGATCTCCTCGTATCAAGACACCCTGCGTGGTCCGAATCAGAGTACCCCTTGGGTACTAATCCTAGTCCGGGTTCCTGCTCTTCGCCGGGAGGTGGCGCGGAGTATGTGATGCAGTAATCCAGCGTGGCCAACAGATACCCCGCGAGCCACTCCATGCATTCCCAGTGGGCGCGACCCGGATTGAGCTGGTATCGCGCCAGTAGTCCTGCTGTGTGAGCTATGTCCGGGCGCGTACAGGTCTGGCACCAACACGCTGATCCCACGAATGCTCGGTACGGCTTTCCTGCCATAAATCGTTGCTCATCTTCAGGAAGGGGGTTTGCTGCATTCGTG